ACGAGTACTCGCATGAAACACTATAATTTTAGTCTGATTTCACATTATGTACGATAAATTAACGAGGTTGATATACTCTATATAATGACCTAATAAAATCAATTTACTCTACACAAGAACCTAATGAAGTCAGTATACTCTACATAATGACCTAACAAAGTCGGTCTACTCTATATGATGATCCAACGAGATCGATCTATTTTATACAATGACCCAATAAGGTTGGTCTACTCAACACGATGACCTAACAAAGTTGTTTAACTCTACACAATGATCCAATAATGTCAATTTACTATACTCACTTATCACATACAAGACATATATAATAACATACTAAGGCACCATTGAAATTAAAATCAACAAAACATGAATACAATGATCGTCAAATTAACTATAATATAAGTTAGTCCTCCTTGTTTATTATTTGCCCATTAACCACGTTCTTGAAGGGGCCCATCGTAGACAAATTGGCTTCTGAAAACAGAATCATAATTTGTTCCATGCCCTAGCGAATCCAACAACATACATTTTGGCAATTTCGTCTTGGTGGCATCTCAGACTTCTAATAATAATAAACACGTGGCAAGAGTAATAATACGTGGTGAACGTATTCTCGCCTAAACAACCAACGTTTGAATTATCATATGAGAAGCGACATTCGATCTATATAAGATGTCTTGGATTATTGTGTCACACAAATACTGACTTATAAATGTTAATGTTAGACAAGACAACATGGTCCCCTTAAAGCCTTAACATTCAACACTTGAGGTCGAGGCTGTGTAGTGTCCAAATAATCCAGTGTGATCGACCTTATGGATCGGTCATGTAATAAGTTTCTTTATTTCAGGAATACCATCTTGAGAATCTTGTCTAAACTCATGCATGTTATATAAAGAATGAATAATAATCAAACATAGGAGATTATAGACAAAAGTTTAGGTCTAAGGAGAGTAGTCAATATAAGTATTAAGGTAACACAGGGTAGGTAACTTGCAAGGTAATACTACAAATCAAAGGATAACTTTAGAGTATTCAAGAATTAACTCTAACGATGTTATCATAATTAATATAAGACATATGAGCATACCAGAACATAAAACTTCTAAGGGTGTGAATAAAACGAGATTAGATTATCGGATCTATGGTGGGTGTCAATGTTCTAACATGAGACATATGAGCATATCAGAACATAAAACTCCTAAGGGGTGTGACTAAAGCGAGATTAGGTTATCGGATCTATGGCGGGTGTCAATGTTTCGTCTAGGAAAGAAAATATCTCAGCTTCATGTCCACTGTGATAATATCATTAGAGTTAATTCTCATAGGTATTGTCCGCTTTAAAACTCTAATTTATAAATTACCTTTGACCTCAACTCCTAAATGATGTGAGACTTATGAGTATAAAGGTACATAAACCCCATCTAAGGAATAAAGAGTATAAATAGAACGAAACTCATGAGTCCCGGTCAAAGACTAAGAGATATAAATAAAGCAAAATTATACTCAAAACTACGGTAACGTCAATGTTGTGTCAATACTATTAATGTTTAAAATTTATAAACCTAATTTGTGAATGAAATTCATTTTGTAATCAACCGTTCACTTTTATTTATTTTAAATTGAATTATAAGAGCAAGTAAACATGGTATTAAACTCACGTAAAATTATAAGAGTATCAAAACATCATTGCCATTTCAGAGTTATTCATTATTTGACAGGATTTAAAGGAAAAATAGGTATATTTTGCAGGAGAAAAATATAAACAAAATATTTTTATAAAATATTTCTGCGTATTTTTGTCCTTACTCTTAATTAAAAAAATTAAAAATTATAAAAATCAAAATGAAACTCTTAATTCAAATCTTCCCTTTCCTACTTCTTTTTGGGCTAACCCTGCTATCTCTTCCTCACCTCTTCTGCCCGGCCACCTCCTAAGTACTCCCGCCACTGTCTGCCACCGCTGTCTTCGGGCACCACCCAAACGCTCCCACCACTCTTTGCCACCACCATAGGTGCGTTCTCTTTTTCTTCCTTCTATTCTATGATTATACCTGTGTCTATGCCTATTTATGAGATTTCTTCGTTGATAACAAAAATTTTCACAATTCCTCACCAGTTTCCCTACCCCTGCATTCATTGTCACTATCACCAACCCTCACTCTCCCAACTTGCCCTTGATTGTTCCAAATCTGAAATTTTGCCTGAAGGAAGGTGACTGTGATGCCAACTTTCTCTCCTTTGAGTTAGTTGGTCCTTCTACTACTACTATGCTTTTTCCATTTGTGTGCTCTTGGTATTGTTTCAATCACGAACAAAACTCTACTCATTAATATGGTTGATCACACTGTTCCAATTTCCCATTAGAACAACAAGTTCGAACAGAGTGCTTCAAAAACCATTGGTTTATCATTCCCATTGTCTTATAAATCCAAGTGATTGAGTGTAGTGTTGTTTTCAGCATTGGGTTCCATGGAATGGGAATCTTTGCCAATTTCATGTAGGATTCCAATAGGGATAAGTGAAGTTGTTTATTGTGTATACTCTGATCAAAACTTATTCATTGGTTAGTATATCCTAATTATTTTAATCTTTTAGACTGATAGTAGGGTGGTGTGCATTATGTGTCATGATTTTGTTATTTGTTTTTAAATGTACAGGAAACAAGTTTGCTGAAGACATTATTCGATTTGTTGTTCTCTCAATTTTTTGCCCAAACAACAAGCTTGAATGAAGACACCTACGAAGCTACATAATAATTTTTGGTGAATTATTTTTTGCCAGTTGCTTATGCAATCATACAAATAATTTATTTTGAAATGATAATTCTCTTATTGGTAATTAGTTTTGTTACAGAATGTGCAAATAAACCTCTTGCATTCTAATTTTGAGAAAATTTAGAGGATTCAAACTGATTCTGGTTGTTAACACATGGCTTGTAGCTTGGCTTTCCCCAAAGTCTTGTGTGTAGACTTCCTCTTTGATCTTGTAGGCATCTTTCATAATAACTACGTGACACTTGAGAGAAAAAAAAAAAAAAAAAGAGAAATATTATAATATTTGGGTGTCACTCCACAACCCAAATCACCTCATATTTATAATGGAAAGTTGTAGAGAGATACATTGATTAGAGGGGAGATGAAAAGATTAACTTCTAGAAGATACAACTCATAGATAGATATAACTAATATTTGATGGAGTTACATATTTAGTTAGTGTAAACTAATATTGATGTGGGAAAGGGTTTAAGGGTAGTTACAACCGTTAGAGTCAAAGATTGGTTTAGTAAACAGCATCACTAAGATTCCTTCTTAGATGACACTTTAGTTATGTGGTCAGCCTTGATGGAAACACAGCACCAAGGCTGATTGTGAGTTTCCTTTCTTAGCTGTTCCTTTGAGATGCGCAGGCCTTCATTTGCGACAACCATTTCAAAAGGCTTTAGTCTAACAAAATCAGTCACTTGAACTGTGGGATCTCTTCCATCCAAGTTAGTCAAGTTGAGAGTCTTTCCTATGTTAAAATAATATTATTTATAAAATAACACTTGAAAAGGAGTGTTTATCACTATAAATATAATTTTTTATGTAAAATAATATTAAATGTTAAATTATTCAACATAACCAAAAGATATTCCATGGTTTTTTTTTTTCTTTTTTGGGTTAGGTGAGTGAGGGCATTTCTGCTTTTTCAATGGCTATGTTTGTTTTGTTCTTGATATTACATGTTTGTGTGGATTTCTAGTTTTTTTTTTTCTGATGTGTGTATATTCTGCTTTGTAATTATCTGTTACTGCTTTCTTTGATTGAGAGCAAATTAGAAGTTGAGCATAAGCAACTAAAGTTGTTTCAACTCAAAATTAATTCTAGATAAAGTTTCAGAATCAATTTTTCAAAGTGAGACTAAACATGCAGACACTTACCTAAAATTCTGCATTAACTACTGATATTTCACTGTGATTTTGAATGTTTCATTGTGGAACTAAACATAAACTTATTATACTGTATATCTTATGTTAGCTAATACTTTTATTGGAATAAGCTTGTCTTTTTCTTCTATCCAAATTGATCTGCAGGATTCCTTTCATTAACACTGCTGTTCCAAAATTATTTTCTGTTATTATCCGAATTCACTGTCCTTCCTTTCGACAACTTTTATATTTATATCTTTTTGTTCCCTATGATCCCTGATTTCATATATTTTGCTCATAGCATGATCATTTAGCCCTGAATATGAAAAAGGTTTGACTAGCTTGGATTGGTGCTATTTGTGTATGGAAATTTATTGGTTCATAATTTGTTGGTAAACTATTGGTGTAGTATGTATTGTGAAGTTTGTGGATGAATTGTGATAATTTATAAATCACCTTTCAAACTTACTTTAACTGGCTAAGTAATTGGGTACCAAGTCTACCTTTTTGCTCTCTTCCTAAGCTTACTTCATGTATTTTTACATTTTGTTGAGCTTTACTATTATTATTATTTCATTTTTTTATGTTTTTTCTCTTTGATTATGATGAGTCACTTATTTAACCCACCTCCTGGTGATTGAGCAAGGTGGACTTAATTTTTGTTCATTCAGTGAGCCAACCTGTGTGAGTTGAGTTTTTTGACAACTGGTGTTGATGGGTTGGTTCACATTTTTCCCTTTTGTGCTGTGCTTTCTCTCATTCAAACATCTTGAGATGAGTGGGACTCTAGTGCATGATAATGATACTCACAACATCTTTCAATATTACTTAAGTTTTGTCTAGTTTTGCTTTTAACTTTCATTTCAGTGTTTCTGTTTATTGGTTTGAGGGTTTTATTCATTTTCCTTCTCTTGGTTGTGTTTTTGGGCATAGGATAGTTAGATATATATTTTACTTTTACTTGCTAATATTCACTTTTGTTATTTTGTTAGAAAAACACTGTTTTTCGTCTATTTTTCAACTAACTTTTGTTTTATTTTAATTACAATTTTAACAGGAGTTCATATCTTATAATTATTAGTTTGATCCTATGAAGGGAAGATACTTGAAGAAAAGATTGAAGCATGTTGTTGAGCCGGATAAAAATTGTGAAACTAGGGTTGAAGATATTGCTTGGCTTTGCTCCCTTTCGGAGTCTGAAATTGTAAGTCTCTTTGTGTGTTCATTAACTTAATGGATCATATTTTATCATTGTTTTCTTTGTTTCTAGATTTTCTAGGTTGGTTGCTTTAGATAATATTACTATAGTGTTTTTGGTAAAAACTTCGATACCAGAAATCTTCTTCAGAGATTACAGAGTATGCGAGATCGCACTCTTGAGAGCATTTTTTTATAGAACTATAATATTGCAAGAGAAGTTATACAGAGTGAATTTACAAAAGGGATGAAGATAAGATGTCAAAAACAAAATGAATTATTATACAGAGAGTAATAAAATAAATGTTAAGGTTCAAGTGTATTAATTAACAAAAATATCAAGTCCTCTCCTTTGCATAATGTCTTAGTGTTATTTTTGTTGTAGCTACTTTCCTTTGGAACAAGAGTTTTGCATGTTTGATGTATATTAGGTATGTCCCTTCATTTCACTTGTTCATTTGAACCGTGGAGTTAACAAGATGAAGGTATAACTTTTTTGTACCTTATGCTATCTTTACATACCTGTTTGATCGGAGACAAATGGTTGTAACTTTTTAGGATTCAGATTTGCCATTTTATTGGGAAAGAATGGATTCTCTTTGGTCCTAGTTATTTCTTCACTATGATCTGGAGATTAAACAGTCTTGCTACCTGTTTTAATATTCATTTTATGCTCTGCATTTATCTTGAGCTTAATAGCACTTTCGGTTTTTCATGTATCACAGTTATTTGATTTTATTCTTTCAGATTTTATTTGTGCCAATTTGATCTTCCAAGTATCACGAATTTGAGATTTTAGTTCCATCTTTGATTGGAATTTGATAATGTCACAATGTCTTATGGTATGTTTGGGAGACTAAAATCTCACAATTATGATACTTGGGGACTTGATTGACACAATTAGAACCTAGAAGACCAAAATCACACATACAGTTGAAACCTTAGGGATTAAAATTGCACAATTGCGGTATTTGGGGGACCAAAAATGAAATTAACCTTTTTTCTCGTGGGATATAGATATGTTATTCCCCCAGTCCACTCCCATTGTACTTCTACCATTCTCCTTAATAAAACTACTTTTTTTAGAATAATTTAAGCTTATGAAATCAAAATAATCGGACTATCTAGTTCATTAATGAATGGAAATGTAATCGAGTCTGTCTTAGACCAAGTTATATGTGTAAATCTAGTTTCAAGTAGACCTGGTTAGTCATGTTTAGTTGGGTTATCTGTGTTTCTTGAATTTGAATGTCCCCTTCACATTTAAGTTTTATTTCTGTTGTAAGAGCTTAACTTTTGATGGCGAAAATTTCAAACTTGTCAGGACGTGCTGATTAGCTTGAAATTGTTGATCATTCAGCGTGCAAAAATGATAGGTTGTAAGGAGATGGCTAAAAAATTCAACCTCAAAATGATTCGAGCCATTGGTATGCTCTATGGCTCTTTTTTTCTTGGCTCATATGCATACCTTTCAAATCTCATATGCATAATGTTCATTGATTACTTATGTCTCCTTTTATTGTTGTTTTCTTGTATAATGTTAATATTAATGGTGAGGCAGGGTTCTACAGGTATTACTTATAATGTTAACTTTTATAAAGGGACTGGATTGCTCTGACATTCTTTTCTTGCAAGAAGAATTCAAGTATTTAATTTCATCAAGATTTTAGGATGTTCGTTACTTCTTTTCATCCATTGAAATCATTAAAGGACATCAGCCTGTCATTGGTTGTTGAGTCCGTACTGTTGCATGCATACAATGAAATGCCATCAAATTACTGTCATACTTAGATTATCTGCACCACTGGTTTGGATTTTTCGAACTGAATTGAATTTCACTGTAGTAGTTGCAAATTCTAGGAGCATAATAATGAATCTACTTCTTGCACTAATGTTAGAGAATAAGATATGGTTTCTAATCACTTTCATTTACTAACTTCCAAGAAATCTCTATGCAGCACTTATTTTGATGGAACATCTCAAGTCACAGATAAAGGATTCATCAATTATCTCCAATACAGTGAATTCTACTGCGCTTTTCGATGCTTGCAACTTATTGAATTTTAACAATGAGGTTGATGCAAATATTGACGAGCTAAGCACAAGTCTTGGTGCTGATATACAAACATTACTTAAAAGGTATGTTTACCAATCTTATTTATATTTATGAGAAATCTCCAAATATAAGTGTCTCCATGGTAACATGAACTATTCAAGTTGTTGTCGATAAAATAAGAGAAACTATCAGTGTTTCTGACCAGAACATGTACATGGTCCTGACCAATATTTACATGACATATGATCGAGATTTTCATTTGATGAGAAAGAATTAATAGTTTCTAACTATGTGTCATGTGGAAATTTGTTGGGTCCATAGTAGTCCTAGACCATGGCATAAAATATATAATAACATATCAAATATAATTATATTAAAATTAATGAAGATGAAATGTTTAATTGTATAAATCCAATGTTGAAAATTATATTTGTCTATTACTGTTAATTAATATTTTCTCGTTAATCTTCATTTCATTACTTGCTACATTTAATTTTTTTTGAAGGATTATATTTTTAAGTATATAATTTGAAAAAAGTTATTTGTCTAACGCTTATTATGTGCTTCAAACTTTACAACGTGGAACAAAATTGTTATAAAGGCTATCTAATTCTAACAAATAGATAAAAATTAGTCTTTTTTAAGAATTATTATTTTATTTATTAATAATTTGTAATATTTGTTTTTTATTGTAATAAGTTCACAGAAAGACAATCTTAATATTAATAGTTACTATACTATTGTGTATTCTACCATTATTTTATTATTTTTTAAAGTAAAAATTTATAATCACTCTTTAAGGTCTTGATTCATAAGAATAAAAAATGGTTATGCATGTGAAGATTAGTGGAACCATGGTAGGTTTGGAACATGTAGTTGACCGATCTCTAAATGTTTTATGATCTTTGACCAATCTCTGTGATGTAGTTGAGTTTTTCCATTTGTGAGAAAATATTATTAACTGCTTTTTGAGATTTTAACACTTGTGCTTTTATGAGATTTTTACACTTAGCAATGCTGATATTATATTTCTGTGCAGTCCACCAACATCCAAACGAAAGAGAAAAAGGTTGGAAGAAAGTAGTGAATGAAAGATTTGCAGTTGTTGGAAGAAATCATTTATCCTGATTGCAAAAATGTTTACTTTTTTTTTTTTAACTTTGGAAACTCTTATTTAGAGTTTTCTTTTTCCAATTTCCTACCTTGCATACAACCCCAATTATTCTTATCATAATTTGTGTTCACAGTTTTTGTAATTACTTTTTTAAAATTATTTTTAATTTCTTTTTAATTTTATTAATTTTTTATTAATTTTATATCATATTGTGTATAATTTAAGAATTGAGATGGATAATAATATATATATATATATATATATATATATATATTTATAATAAAATTATAATGGATTAGAATATAAAAAACAATACCTCCAGTAAATAAGAATCAGGAAGATACGTAGACAAAATGAATTAATATATTATTAGCGTTAAAAGTTACAATAGAGTATAAGTTAAAAATAATTTATACACAGTATAATGGAATTAAATTCTAATTATAAATGAATTTAATTATAATGCAATGATAAGTTTGTCTTAATTAAAATTATATTAACTATTATAGTAATATTTTTTAAATTATCTCATAATTTTTATTAATAATGATATAAAACAATTAATTTTTTTAAAAATTGCATGAATTTATGAAAATTATGATAAAAATATTATAATTACTCCTTTTATCTTAAAATATATTACTATTTTATAAAGTTCAAGATTGTAATAACTATTTGTTTATTAATTATATTTTTATCTTTTAATTATATTAATAAAAAATTAATTATTTAAAAAAATTTTAATTCGAGAAAATAATAAAATAATAAAAATATTAATAAAAAATAATTAATAAATTTGTTAAAAATGATAATTATTAATATTTATATTGGTTTGTGTAATATTTTAAAATAAAAGGGAATATTTATTTAAAAATAAATAAATTTTAATTGTAATAAAATATGAATTCCTTTTCCCAAATATGTAGGTAGAATGTACTGCATGAAGATTAAACAAAATTGACATATTTTGTAATTCTCTCTTCCAATAACAGGTAACATATTTTTAAGAAATTAATCTAATGCTAAGAAAACCAACCCACTGACAAATATTATTGTGTTTATAAAATTATAAATGCTTTGAATTGTATTTTTAAAAATATTATCTCTACATTACATTAAAGAAATGCAAACATTTTCATAAACAATTAATTATATAACTTTTCCTTATTTTTATTTTATAATTTGATTCATATAGTTATACAATTTATTCATATATTATTAATTTGTTTAATTAAGTATTGGAATTTAAAGTTAATATGAATTTAGTTTCTGAAATAAAAAATTTATATTAATTGAAAAACTTAATTAAATTTTTGAATGATATATATATATATATATATATATATATATATATATATATATATATATATATATATATATATATATATATATATATATATATGTGAGGGTTGTTAGTTATGTTGAGTAGTGGATATATGAAAATATTAAAAACAACAAAGCAAGCAGAAGAACCTAGCTGTTTGGTTCGATGCTCTCGGTCGCGAAACGATTCCCGCTTCGGCCCCTGACGACGCCGTTTCTCCTCGAGCAGCTTCGGTATGCCAGAACACGGCCAAAGTCGCCGCCGGTGGCGTTGAGGAAGACGGAGGAGCGGTCGGAGTGGTGGGCGGTGGACGGCGAAATGCACGAGATCGGCGATCACGTGCCGCCACGTGAGCGCTTCGTGATCCCCCGAGAAAACATCCCCAACAAGCGCCGCAAGCAGCTCAGAGAACAATTCATGCGCCGAACACGCCTCGTTCTTAAGGAATCCGTTAGTCTCTTACTCTTTCTTCTTAATTTCCTGTTATTTATTTATTTTATAATTATATTTAGTTTGGGATAATATAGTTTTGTTGAGAAGAGTTGTGCAGCATAGGATATAGGCAGAGTGTGTTTTCTTATGGATTGACTCTCCAAGTAGAGAGTAAGACCAAGGTTTTGCTACTTTTTTGTGTTTTAGTCTTTGTAAGTTTTTTAGTTCGTACGCAAAGTTTTAAATTGTAGTCTCAGCTTTGGTCGCAATTCTGTCGTTGTGGACAGATGTGTTGTAGTTTGTGGTTGTGGAGACTCCAAAAGTCTTGATGTTGAAGCCCAAATCAGTGTTGTTTTAAAACCTTAACACTTAAAAAATGTAGTTTTAGAGTGTATTTGAATTTTACATTCGAAAACTGTTGTGTAGTTTTTGAAATGAAACTAAACAAGATTGCTAGATAGTGGAGGGAGACGTTGTATTCGATGAAATCAGACCAAAGATGAGAAAATACTTGTTTCTATTATTTTGTTTACTGCTTTTGAAAACAATTTGATTACTAAGTAGTGTGACATTATCTTGGAAAATAGTTTTTAAAACCCAAAAAGTGAAAATGAATCTTGTTAAGGAGTATTTAAACTTAAGACATTATTCTGCCATTGTATTTGTGTTTGCAGTTTGGATTTTCATTATACATAGTTACATTACATGGTTTCTGTCTCAGTCAATGTGAGTGAAAATGTGATGGATATTATATTTCTGTTGCATTACTGACTTGTAGTTGCCAGCTTATGATTTTTTATGAATAAAAAAAATGTGAAATTCAAAATCATATATATTTTTTTTTCTAAAATGCCTGTCTTGTATTGAAAGGAGCATGATCCTTGGTGCAAAAGGTATATTGAGCTGTATAATGAACTTAGAGAAAACTGGGAGAGGCTTTATTGGGATGAAGGTTACTCTAAAAAGCTTGCTCAGGATCATGCAAACTATGAGTCTGCTGAAGACGATGATAGGGATTTCTCCCCATACAGGTTTGCCTCATTATTGATTCTTTCATTTTTCTTTTCTTGCTAAGGCCTGTAACTGCTTTTGTCTTGGGAAAATGATATTGCTTGTACTGTCTCATGCATGAATTTGATGACTAACGTGGTCATCTTGTTGAGTTTTACCCAAACAATTATTCTTTAGAGTCTCTTCTGTGTTAGCTAAATATTATTATGGTTCTGAATTTTCTGTTCCAAAATTTTTTGTTGGTGTCATTATTCAGTAGTTGGGCATCATGTTGTAACAACCTCTATGTCACACTATTTTCTGTGGCCAATCAGATTAATAGTTCAAAGTTCTTCAGTAATTAACATATTGTTTGGTTGGTGGGAAATGGAGGAGAAGGAAGGGGAATGGAAGGAAACAAAAATCCTCATCCAATTTTTGCTCCCCTTTTTATTTTTGGGATTTGGACGGGGAGAGGAGGTGATTTAAAACATTTCAAGTTTATTAATAAAGATAATCCTATTTATTTTCTGACATCCAAAATTATTAGAATATGAAGGTAAATTATCTTTTAAATTCCTCCCCTCCCCTTGTGAATCAAAGAAGAAAAGGGCTACGTCCACTTCTATCAATCAAGCATAATGTCTAATTAATCCCCCCACCCTCATTGCGTTGAACCAAACAAATGATGGGGGATGGTGTCTAATATCAATGTTTTTTCATATGGCATTTCAGGAGTAGAAGACCTCAGCCTCAAATGGAGCATAGTAAGGTACAATGATTTAAATATAATATAGCAGTCTTTTTGTCTTGCTTTTGCTTGTCATGAAATATATATCTTTGATTCTAAGGATATTGTTCCATCAGTGAGCTCTGCAGAATAAAGTGCTATCAGAAATAAATTGTATCTTGCCATTTTGTATTAAATTAAAAAAAGTAATCTTTTTCCCATATCAAAGTTTTGTCTCTGACTGTCGGGATTTTAACTCAAGAAGCCCTATATGAGAGTTGAGGGATTTTATTTCACATTATTCAGAATGGGAAAGGAATGATATAAATTATAAATTTGTTCCTGTTTGGTAAGGTTATACAGTTTGTAAGGAATGATACTGAAGCCATTTTTATGGTGTCAACTGGAAAAAATTCCCTTAATAATCTCAAGGCACAGTAATATCTTCTGCATTATTTTATTTTCATATTGTTACTAATTGCCTTTAATTATCAAACTCACAAGTTAACAAGTTAACAAGTTAATTCACTAACTCGGATGAGTTTGCAAGTTAGATAGTGGCCATGAGTTAATTTGTGAGTAAATCTGTTTTTAGAGTGAACTTGTGTTGACTCAGTTAGACTTACGAGTTTTCCGTTGGGTTCGTAGGGTTTGCTAGTCCTGGTTTACCTAAAACGAGTTTTCCGTTGGGTTCGTAGGGTTAGCTAGTCCTGGTTTACCTAAAACGGTGCATGTCTTCTACCAATTCATTTCTCCTTGTTGTACAGTATTTTTCTTCCACTTTTGAGTCTTCTTGTGGCGTCTACTTCCCCAACTTTGTCTCGCCTATGTGCATCTTCTTCTCTAGCTTTGCATTTGCCACCTGATCGGGCAATGTGATATGAATTTTAATTGCACAAGGGGTGATTTAGGATCTTTAGGGTTAGAACCTTGTAGGAAATTTAGGAATTTAGTGATAAGATAGAAGGAAATAATCACTCTTCCCAAGAAAGATAACTCACAAAGGATGTGAAAGTCCTTTGATACAACCAAGAGTTTTTGAATCACTCAAGAATTTAAGAGAATCACTCACACCAAGATAAAAAAGTTAAACTCTAATATTTTTAAATAAAATTCAACTTGTTATATTTGATAAAAATATGGTTCAGCCTATATAGATGCTTTGCCATCAGAATTACAAATATTCAATAAAGGAAAATAAATGCTAATAATGATTCATTAACCTAGAAATTAAGACAAATAAAGGTTAATAATGATCCATTAACCTAGGAATTAATACTATTTAATGACTGATTATAACTGAAATTGTGGCAACCAAAAGTCAATTAGTTATGCACCCTCTTGGTCTCCCAAAGACTGATGATTAAGTTTCCAATTGGACCCTTATTACAACTTACAATAAAACCAAACTAAAGTCCATTAATTGATTAATCCAAAACACAATTTGGTCAACCAATAATACTTGTTGAAGAACTTCCTTTGCTTCTCTTGCCCTAGCCCTTGTTATAGGTCATGTCCACATCATTCTCTCCCTCTTGAAAAGGATTTGTCCTTAAATCGAATTTATCATCTACATAAAAAAGAGATAAGTCTGAAAAATTGAATGTAGAACTAACATTATACTCACTTTTTGTGGCTAAATAGCTCTTTCTCACTTCAAGTGTTTCACTAACGCTTTCTTTTTCTCTCTTCTCTTGAAAAAAATGTCTCTCCTCCTCTGCCATCAATTTGATGTTCAAACCCTTAAACCTGAGCTCTGAATACCAACTGATATGAATCTCAATTGCACAAGGGGTGATTTAAGATCTTTAGGGTTAGAACCTTGTAGGAAATTTAGGAATTTAGTGATAAGGTGGAGGGAAAGAATCACTCTTCCCAAGGGAGGCAACTCACAAAGGATGTGAAAGTCCTTTGATACAGCCAAGGGTTCCTGAATCACTCAAGAACTTAGGAGAATCACTCTCACCAAGATAAAAGAGTTAAACTCTAATATTTTTAAATAAAATTCAACTTGTTATATTTGATAAAAATATGGTTCAGCCTATATAGAAGCTTTGCCATTAGAATTACAAATATTCAATAAAGGAAAATAAATGCTAATAATGATTCATTAACCTAGGAATTGAAAAATACTTAATTGAGACAAATAAAGGCTAATAATGATCCATTAACCTAGGAATTGATACTACTTAATGACTGATTGTAACTGAAATTGTGGCAACTAAAAGTTATTTAGCTATGCACCTTCTTGGTCCCCCGAAGACTGATGACTAAGTTTCCAATTGGGTCCTTATTACAACTTGTAATAAAATCAAACTAAAGCCCATTAATTGATTAATCCAAAACACAATTTGGTCAACCAACAATACTTATTGAAGAGTTTCCTTTGCTTCCCTTACCCTAACCCTTGTCATAGGTCTTGTCCACATCATTCTCTTCCTCTTGAAAAAGATTTGTCCTCAAATCGGGTTCATTTACATAGAAAAGAGATAAGTCTAACAAATTGAATGTAGAACTAACATTATATTCACTTTTTGTGGTTAAATAGTTCTGTCTCACTTCAAGTGTTTCACTCTTCTTTTGATCACTCTTTTTTTCTCAAGTGTTTCACTAACACTTTCTTTTTCTTTTTTCTCTTGAAATTTTTTTTCTCTCATTTTCTTTTTATCCTCCTCTGCCATCAATTTAATATTCAAACTCTTAAACTGGGGCTCTGAATACCATTCTCAATTGCACAAGGGATGATTTAGGATCTTTAAGGTTAGAACCTTGTAGGAAATTTAGGAATTTAGTGATAAGGGAAAGAATCACTCTTCCCAAGGAAGGCAACTCACAAAGGATGTGAAAGTCCTTTGATACAACCAAGGGTTTCTGAATCACTCAAGAACTTAGGAGAATCACTCTCACCAAGATAAAAGAGTTAAACTCTAATATTTTTAAATAAAATTCAACT